TAGGTTGCTGATTAACGTTTCCACGTATCACAGAATCAAACCCAGAAATGGTGTAGGCATTAGGAAATATTATTATTAGAAGAATGTTTGTAATGATGGAAATGAAAAATGTAAATGCCAAGTCTTTAGAGAGGTTTAAAGAGATTAATTGGAATAATAAAACAACTGAAGTCAAATTGGTTATGAAACTGTGCTTTGAAATGATAAATTCTATTTGAAGTGTTTTCTTTTGGCACATTCTTTTTTGGCTAAAATGTAAAAATAAATTAGTGAAGTGAGCATCTCAAATCCATGAAGGGCTATAGAACATGGTACATGCTGACCAAGTATTTCTCATTTGTTGTAGGGAAAGATATTTTTTAAAAAGGAAAGAAAGCTGCAGTAGGAAGATCGCAGCATATATATATATATATATATATATATATATATATATATATAAAATATATAATATATATAATATATTATATATAAAATATATAATATATATATATAATCTTGTGGGCAGAAAGTGAGATACAGAAATTGGTAATCAAGTATCATTTAGGGAAAAGCTTCTACAGAGGAACTGGAAATGTTATGCCTGAAAATAGGAACAATGAAATGGTTTTAAAACCACACTTGGAAATAGTAGAGACAGAAATGGGGTTAAGAGACAAAAAAAAAAAAAAAAACCAAAACAAAAAACAAAAAGAAAAGAAATGGTAGAGTTGGAGATAAAAAGTGAATAATGTATAGGCTCAGAGTGAATAATACAAAGTTTATTTGTTTGTTTTGACTAAGTCTAAGTCACATGAGAAGAACTAAAATTCATCATTAGTCTTAGGGATAATAGTCTGGAAATATTTTGACCAAAAATATGTTATGTCTCATAGATGCACACTAACATCTTATCAAGGTCCCTGACAGTGCATTATTAATAGTGTAGTTTTATAGTTTGTAAGCTTAATTCCAATAGGGCTGTGAGGAATATGAACTTTGCAACTCCGCAGAGCTGGTTTTGACCTCTGTGGCTTAGTGTACACTTTATTTTGCTGTGCCCCTGGTCCTTCTGTGTAAAAGAGAATAATAGTGTTAAGATTATTCAAGATTGCCGTGTTTAATGAGTCCATGCATGTATAGCCTCTTGGCACATATTACATGCTTGCTTGTACCTCGTCTTCTCCTTTACTTTAAGGGGAACATACGTAAAGAAGGAAACTTACAATGTGATATGTTGTCACTACCCAAGCAGCCAGGTCACAGCCTCAGGTCTAACCTCTAAGATTTATGCATTGAGCATGGATCTGAAAGATCAGAACTCATTTTACTAAATTGTCCATAGACACAGGAAAACTCTACATGGAATCCTGCAGTGTTTCGGATCCTATGTTGAAGATATTAAAGAGAAACTATTAGGGCAATTAGGCTAAAAGAGAACATACATTTAATTTTTGTGATACTTAGATAATTCATCAGTTACTAATCAAGTTATTAATCATAATTTGTAAAATATTTACCAACCTTACTAGTTTGGGAGAGTCACATACCTTCTCTGACCCTGTTTTCTCAGCTCTAACATGGGGATAACTTATGAATTCTTTGTAGGGTTAATGAATTACAGAAATGGGGGCTTATAATAGTATGCATAATTTCAAATACACCCCTAATATAAATTCTGTTTTGTATTTTATGCTTTTTAAAATAAACTAAAAATGTTGAAGTCTCTGTATATTAGTTTAGGTGACATTGTTAGTGATGAGAAATTAATCTTCATAATTTAAAGGAGTTAGCATTCCCTTATTATAAAAATATGACCTCTAAATTTTGTTTCCATATGTTTTCACTGAAAGTTTCAAATTTTAATTTTCTTATCAAAACATATAGTTACACACAACAAAACAATAAAATGGAGATAATAACAGTGCCCACCACATAGGGTTGCTGTGAGCCCTGAATGAGATAGCGTGTATAAAAGTGCTTGGTAGAGTGCCTGGAACAGAGAGGGCAATCACTCAATACCAGATAAAAGCTAAACAATTAAACAAGCCACGAAACAAAATCCTCATCCGTCTTAAAGTGCTTGAAACTCCTAACACTTTGTGGCTGTTGGCTCTCAGCCCTGGCTGCATAATTAATCACAGTACAGTGAACTCTCCATTATCCGCACTAGTGAAGGGCAGAGGCATGGATAATACAAAACAAGGGGTAATCTAAAAGTCATTTATATATTTGGCTTTGGAATGAAGTCAGAGAAAGACACACACAAACACGCATATCTGTCATTTCTGTCCTGGCAAAGGCTTCCCAATTGGGATCTCTATTGAGGCCTCTGGAGCCTTTCTAAGGGCAGGAGGTGGGGGAAGGTAGTGCTTGGCACTTAACAAAGGAGATACAGGATATACAAAGCACTTAAAATGTTTTTTAAATATACGACATATAAAAATTGTCAATACTGTTATTAATAATTGTTTACTTGCAGATTACTGACAGGCGACTAAAGGAAGAAATCAGAATACAGGAACCAGGCTGTTTTTATCCACAACTCCCTGGTAACAAATAACATACTTTTCTGCTGCTCCACATTGCCCACCCAAAGAGAATTTTGAGCAGATTGAAGATGAAATATGATTCATTTTTATATTCCTCTAAAGTCTTTAGAGTGCTTGGCACATAGTGGGAGGTCACAAAGTGTTGAAAGTGTGAATGTCTTTTAGGGAGATTTCTGCTTGGAGTGAGTGTTGCATTTTGACTTGCGATAGAGGTCTCCACCAGGTCTGAGGGTTCCCAAAAGTCACTGAGCAGCTCCATTTCATCTGAGATGGTTTTAGGCTTAGCTTCTTAAGACCTATTGCTTCTTCTGGAGACATTACTTTAGTTCTTTTGTTGAAACATCTGACATTGATAGTAAAGGTGGAGAGGGCTGGAGACAAAGAAGGTGCAGAGAAAGATTTAACAGCAGCCTCACAACTTTTGTGTTAAGGGTTTTCAGAATCTCTCAGAGGAAATCTCCATGTCTCATTGAAACTTCATTGATTTCACCAACGTTTGCTTATCATGTTTTACAGGTCAAGTATTGTGCCAAATAGCAGGAAAATAGATACTCAAGATTGTATCATAATTGTTCACAGGCCCATTTCATCTCCTAGACTCAGCTCTTTGTGGGTAAGAACTACATCTTGTTCATCTTTGTGTTCCAAGCATTCAGTACAGCACTGAGCTGTGAACTCAGCACTTGATGGAGATGAATGGGTGAGTAAAACAGTCATTTTCTCAAGGAGCTTGGAGCTTGGTAGGAGAGGCAGCATATGGGTAAATGCTTGAGGAACAGTACATGGGCTGCTGTATCAGAGATTACACGTAGAGCCGTCATCTGTTTGTGAGGCCTGGGGAAGGTTCACAGAGGAAATGGATGACATGGGTCTTGAAAAGGCTAGAATTCATCAGGTGAAGAAAAGCACTCCGAAAAGATGGAATAATCTTTGCCCATGCATGGCATGTTCAGGTACAGTCTGAAGGGAGTGTTTTCATGGAAGAGGAGTAGGAGAAGAGGGAGGGAAGATGGGCAAGAACCTGAGAGCATGATTCTTATCCATACATCACAGTGGATCACTTTATTAAAGGCTGCTTGTTGAATATTTTCCTGGGTCTCTGCAAAGTATATGTGGCTAATCCTCTCAAGGACAGTCCTTCATGACTCCCCTTTGCTCGACAGGACCCATACAGGGCAGGGCATGGAGCTGGCACACAGTCAGACTGTCTGGCTGGACTCCTGACTCTCACCATTTGGTTCAACTGCACTTTGTGCTGAGCTCTTTAGCTGCCAGTTTATAGGGTTTTGACACAGATTATGCCTTGTCTGTGTCTTTCTGTCACTCATGCATGCATGCATCCATCCATCCATCCACCCATGCATGAATGAATGATTAGGAAAGACACCTGTATTTTTTGAGTACATGTTTATTAATGTGTAGAGAACACAGCAGAGTGGGAGTCTACTAAAACATGACTTGCACTGGCTGGTGCCACCTATAGGGGTTCAACTGCTTGATTTTTTTTTTTTCTTCCTTGTTCCCCCTCCTCGCCATCTCTCTTTGAATAAATGAAGATGTTGAGGTTCTTCTATTGAGATTCCGCTTGCTGATGCTAGATAGCAAAACTTTTCATGCAGAGAAGCCATCTACAGGGGCAACAGGCCAAGATGGGGGCGAGGGGGAGGGCGTGAAAGAAGTTGGCCCCTTCTGTTGATCTCCGACCCGCTTGAAATCTGAGGCATCTCCTGGGGTCACGAGGCTGCTTTCATATCCGCCCCCAACACTAAATATTTAGCGCAGGGCAAGGAGAGGCAGGCGAGGGAGGGAATGGGGGAAGCACACGGCCCTGTCTTGGCCTGTTTGCCTCCCACAATAAAAGGGGAAGGAATAGAAAACACCGAGGCACAACGTAAATATTTCCTATTATGGAGAAACTAAAGTCACAATGGAGTCTGTCATGCTTGTGATATGAGAGATGGACAATATTTCGGGGCTGCTGCCATGCTGGCACCTGAATGGAGTTTATATTTTGTTTATGGAGCTGAATCCGAAGCCTTTTATTTTTTTGGCTCGGCCTGTGTAATTCTTCTTCATGGGAGCTCGAAATGGCCGTGGAGCAGCTCAATATTCCATTTATTTTATTTATAAAAGAAATTCAAAGGCTGAAAAGATGAAGTAATTGACTTACTGGGATGACAGTTAAACCCACTAAATTTAATCTTATCCTCTCAAGTACAACATATCGCGCTTACAAATTATCGCCAGCCACCAGGCAGCCCCGCGCTCCTCACCTAATGCAAATGGAATGGAGGCCTCTGTTATTGTATTATCTGACTTTACTATCAGCATTAATCCGGCTTAGCTCACTTAATGATGCCACTTGTGGCACTCCGAAGGCAGCGGAGAAGTCTATAAACTACTTCCATTAAAATGCAAATCGGGCCCGCCGAGAAAATGAGTGACACAAAAAGTGGGCGCCGCGCGCGATGGCGCCGATGGCTGATGCCGCGATTACGCCGGCGGGGGCGGCCCGCGCCCCACGACCGTGCCCGACAAGCCGCGCCGCTTAATTTCTGAAGAGATTTATATTTTTTTGTTGTCAGGAAATGAACAAATACTTATCAATGTAAAAACTGCTATCTCCGATCTCCCCGCCAGGTTTTTCATGCTGATATTATTTGCACCCCGCGACACAGGAAATGAAAACCTCCTCCGCCTTTCACGTCGCCACCTCGCCTCCGAATCCTCTGCGAGCAGCCCGGCCTCCCCCGGCACCGCGCCCCGGCCCCCTCCGGGCTCCCTCCCCGGTAAACAGAAAAGAAAACTTTTGTGGGCCAAGGAGGGGGAGATTCCACGGCTCCGGCTTTCCCCAGCCGACTTGGGTTTCGGGGCGGCGCGGGAAGACGGGGTGAGGGAGGAGGGGCCGGGGTGCTGGCACGCCACCGTAACATCTGTTTTACTTAAGCAGCTTGATTTCGTTTTAGGATGAAAAAGGATTCCCTTTCAGCATGAGGCATCGTGGGCCCCGGGGCTTGTATTGATTCAGAACGAGACCTAATAAAACACGAGCAGGTGATTTAAGTTTCATATTTTGATTCCTTTGTTTAAACAGTTTCTCTCACGTTCTCCTGCGTCGGCCCAGGGACCCCAGCGTCCCCGCTTTGATGTTGGAGGGACACCCGGGCCGCAGAGCTCGCCCCGCTCCTGTAGGTGACTTTGGGCTCTGGAGGGCCCGGCAGCTCCCGAGGGCCCCTCCCCCCCCACGCACCCACACCCACGACCCGCGAGCCTAGCCTCTGCGGTCAGGCTCTCAAATCCTGCAAGGATTTATGGTGCTCACAGGCGGATCAATACGACGTTTTAAATATTACAATACCTTTTATTGAGACAATATTACAACAAAAATATTTCGCCCTGTCACTGGACCCAGTTAAAATTGCTTTTGACCATCTCGTTGGTGGGCTTGCTGGGACCTCTGTGTTTCCCACTTCTGGGCGGAGTCGGTGTGGATGGGCCGGTCCTGCCCAGCCGGCGGGAGGGAGTGGGGGGCGGAGGAGAAGGAGGATGCAGCCCGGGAGGGCTGTGGGGCACCTGGGGTGGGCTGCAGAAACTGGCTCTTGCCCACGTGGCCTCTTTTGGGAGGCTTGTTCTCAGTCTTATTGACTCTTCCCCCATAAAAAAATATGTCCACAAGGTCCTCTCTTTCTTGGATGTGCACCCCTTTCAAGAGAAAGGGGGAGTCTGTGCAGATGAAGCTAGGATTAAGGACGAAATTTATCTTGGAGCCCTGGGACAGGGCCACAGACCGTCTTCTGTGAGTCTGTCAGTCCTCCGTAGGTGTCTGGTTTGCATCTGCCACATCGCCTCCTCACTCCCAGTGCCTGTGTTTATTTCCCTCCCTTTCTGGACTAGGGGGAGCTGCATCTTATTTTCCCACAGGCAGTGCCTATGATAAGGTCTGGCCTCTGCAATATAGATACATAGTACGTGCCCAGACAGGGTTTGTTGAATGACTAAAAGAATGAAAGCTATGTTATGGTCTGGACATTTGTGTCACTCGAAAATACATATGTTGAAATGTAGTCCCCAGGGTGATGGTGTTCGGAGATGGGGCCTTTGGGAGGTGTTGAGGTCATATGAGTGAAGCCCTCATGAATGGATGTTTTTTATAAAAGAGGCTCTAGAGAGCTCCCTGATCCCATTTGCCATGTGAAGACACAGTGAGAAGCACCAGAAAGCCACGGTTCTCCAGACATGAAATCCACCAGTATTTGGATCCTGGACTTCCCAACCTCCAGAATTGTGAGAAATGAATTCTGTCATTTATAAGCTACCCAGTCTAAAGCGTTCTGGTGCAGCAGCCTCACAGACAAAGACAGGAAGGAACGGTATCTTATTTTACCCCCTCATCCCTTCAGAAGCTGAAGAATTGCCTGTGAACAGCTAGTGCCCATCCATGGGTTGCTCTCACAGGAGAGAAATATCCATTGAGGTTTCCTTGGTCCACCTGAATTTTGTTAGCCCCATGTGATGCCAGTATGGAGTCACACCTGAGCGTGTATCCTGGCTTCTTCACTTCAAAGCTGTGTTTCTTGAGAGAGGTACTGAATCATTCTGAGCCTCAGTGTCCTCGCCCCTGAATTGGAAATAGGAATATCTGCCACATGGAGCTATTGAGGGCTTGACGACATGATGTGGGTAATGGTTCTCAGAGGAAGCATCCAAAAAGCACTTTTTCTGTGAACCCAGCTGAGATGGTATAGTAAAAATGGCCCAATGGTTGCTTGGTACCAATTCACAAAAAAACATAAAAGCAAATGCAAATCATTTCCTCCATTAAAATCCTAAAGTGGGCCAGGCTCAGTGGCTCATGCCTGTAATCCCAGGACTTTGGGAGGCTGAGGTGCAAAGATTGCTGGGTTCCAAGGTCTAGGAGTTCGAGACCAGCCTGGGCAACATAGCAAGAATCTGTCTCAAAACAAACAAACAAACAAAAAATTCTAAACTACATAGATTTTTCTTTTTCTTTTTCTTTTTTCTTTTTTTTTTTTTTGAGACGGAGTTTCACTCTTGTTACCCAGGCTGGAGTGCAATGGCGCGATCTCGGCTCACCGCAACCTCTGCCTCCTGGGTTCAGGCAATTCTCCTGCCTCAGCCTCCTAAGTAGCTGGGATTACAGGCACGCGCCACCACGCCCAGCTAGTTTTTTTGTATTTTTAGTAGAGACGGGGTTTCACCATGTTGACCAGGATGGTCTTGATCTTTCGACCTCATGATCCACCCGCCTCGGCCTCCCAAAGTGCTGGGATTACAGGCTTGAGCCACCGCGCCCGGCCACATTTTTATTTTTCTTAAAACTTTGGCACATGTCTTCTGTAAGTGATTCTTGTGTAATGGAATTGAATATATCTGAGTTTCATAGTGTTTATCTACTCATTCATTATTCCACAAATATTTATAGTGTTCTCACCATGTGCCAGTCACTGAATAGGTAATTGGATACAGCAGTGAGTAAGACAGACAAGATCAGGGTACCTGGGGAGCTTCTATTCTAGACAGAGAGGCAAAGAAAACAAGCTAACAAGCAAATACAGACTATAATTGCAAATTGTGACAAATGGTATGAAGTAAATGGAGAGGGTGATGTGATAGGGAATACTCCACCCAAAAATTATGATTTCTGGATAACTGACCTTCTGACAAGTATGAGAGCAACCAGTGTATATGTAACACCAAGCCAGTACCCAGAACAGCTGGCTCCAGTTAACTATTGCTGTGTAACAAAACACCCCAAAACATAGTGACTTAAAATAACAACAACATTTACTTTGCTTGCAAATCAGCAATTTGGGCAAGGCTCCGTGGGGAGAGCTCATCTCTGCTCCACTTAGCAACAGCTTGTGGGGATCAAAGGCTGAAAGTGGGGTCATCTGGAGGCTCTCTCACTTACATGTCTGGAGGCTGATGCTGGCTGTCAGCTGAGACCCCAGCTGGAGTTGAGACTGGAACATGTGGCCTTTCCACCATGGGGCTACCTGGCTTTCTCATGGCCTGGGGACTGGGTTCCAAGGGAAGACATCTTAAGAGAAAAAGAACCAGGCAGAAACTGTATTGCTTTTTATGACCTAGACTTTGAAGTCTGCAATGCCAATTTTGCCACATTCTACTTATTAGATGTTAGTCACTGAGGTGAATCTATTGTCAAGGGAGAGGGAATAGACTCTGTTTTTCCATAGGAGCAGTATCAAAGAATTTGTGGATATAATTTCAAAGTGCCCAAAGCCTCAGTTGAAGAGATGAGAAGCATTAGTTTGGAAGACGTGATCAAACACACTTGACCTTCATATACCATCTTACTTCCCAATGGTTTTTTTCTGTCTCTGATCTATCTCGTCTAGCTACCCTGCCATCATGACAGGACTAATTTTTATTTATTTATTATTATTTTTTTAAGATGGGGTTTCACTGTGTTTGTCAGGCTGGTCTTGAACTCCTGACCTCAGGTGATCTTCCTGCCTTGGCCTCCAAAGTGCTTAGATTACAAGCGTGAGCCACTATGCCTGGCCAACAGGACTAATTTTTCTGATCATGTGCTGATGACCTGCTTTTTGTTTTGTCCCTCTCTCCTTCCATGGCCCTCAACTGTGCTAGAAAAAGCCCAGGCTTCTTATCCATCCGTTCACAATTCTTGCATATTTGACCTTAGTCTCCTTCCCTACTTTATCTCCTAAACCAGTGGAGGAAGGCTGACTGTAAAAACAAGACCACTTCAGCCATGTGAGTCCACTTACCTTACACTACCTATGGTATGTGTTTCTTTTTCCGCTACTTTCTCCATCTGATAGCTCGCCAGCACTCAAATTCTCATTCTTCAAAACTCAGTCCAAGCTTGTCTCTTACATGAAGTTTTCCCTGATCAAATACCATTAATAACAAGTAATAGCTGATATTTATTGAGTACCTAATGTATGCTGGAATTTTACTAGTGGCTTTGCATATGTTTCCATTTATTCTCGCATCCACCTTGCAAGTTTACTATTTGCCCATTGAACAGACGAGAAAACCAAGGCAAATAAATTTTCTCTGGGCTATCCAGCTAGTAGCATGAGGTGCATTTGGGATTCCAATCTTTCCATCTGCCTTGAATCCAAAACAATCTCTATAAGGTAGAAAGTGATAAGTAGTTAAGTCATGAAGGAAAAGCACTGGACGGTTCAAAGGTTGAGTTTTTGGGGAGTTGAGCTAATCAGGAACTTGAACGTCAGTGACTTGATGTCACCAGAGAAGCAAACAGACCTATTTCAGGGTGGAAGCTTCTGTTTGTCTGTTGGCTGCATCATGCTCTGGCCAGCCATGCTCTAAAGAATTTTGACAATTTTCTTAGGCCTCCTAATGCCAACTTGCAAATAGTGCCTTAAGGTCTAGGGGTATTGAATGGTTTAATGGTAGAGAGAGAACAATGAGCTAGGAGTGAGGCAGCTGGGCCATATGTCTAACTCTGCAATTTTGAAATAGATTCTTACTGGACTATATATAAAAAGTATGTCTACAAAGTCCTCCCTTTCTTAGATGCACACCCCTTACAATGTGTCTTTGCTGCCTTTTCCAAGAAAAAGAAAGGGGATCTGATGTGAACTGGCCTGATGTGGACTTGCTTTGCCCTGCTGAATGGGAAGGAGCCATGTGATAAAAGTTCTGAGACTATGCCTTGTAGCTTCCTTTTCACCCTGTTATAACTCTACTCGGAGACTGCCATGCATGGAAGAAGCTGGGATGAAGACCAAGTAGAGAGAGGCCCAGCCATTTCTGCTCCCCCTATTGCCCTGGATGAACTCAGCCCCATCTGAAATCTGTTGTGAGTGAGAACAGACCAATCAACCGCAGAATCTTTGGGAAAAGGTAACCTGATGTCTAAAGCCACTAGCTTTTGGTATGGTTTGTTACACAGTAATAGATAACTGATACACATGGGTGAGATTCCACTAGGGAAAGGGAATTGGAAGAGCCCTTGGAATGCGTGTATGGAAAGGGGCTTTTCCTGTGGAAACTGAATGGAATGGGATGAGAGAGAAGGCTCATCATCTCCA